AGTGTCTCCTGTGTTTCTATGAGAAGCTGGTTATAGTGTCTCCTGTGTTTCTATGAGAAGCTGGTTATAGTGTCTCCTGACTTGGCCTCGAAGATGGCACAGGTGCGCTTCACTAAACTTTACTTCCAGGTCACATAATCATGTGTGCGTGTGTGCTGGCACGTGTGTTAAATGAGTGTGTCGTGTCTGTGCGTGTATGTGTATGAGGGTATGAGTGTGCCTGTCAGTGTTGCTTGTGTGTGTGTGTGTGTGTGTGTGTGTGTGAGCACCTGTGTGTAGAGTATGGTTGTGTGTGTGCATGTGCATGTAAGCAAGCTTGTGTATATCAGCATATGTGTGTGTAGAGTTTGGGTGTGTGAATGTAAGCTTGCATATGGTGAGAGCATATGTGTGTGGTGTGTGAGTATGCAACATGCATGTATGTAAGAGAATGTATGACTGGTGTAGGGGCATGCAAACAGGAATGTGCCTGTCAGCATGTGAGTGTAGATGGTGGGTGTGTATGTGAGCATGTGTGTGTAGTGTGTAGATATGCAAGCATGCATGTGAGTGAGAGAGAGCATGTGGTGGTATGTGTGTATGCAAGCATGCATGTGTGTGTGTGTGTGTGTGTGTGCAGGTGGGTGTGTGTGAATGCAAGCCTGCATATGGGTGTGAACATGTATCTGGGCATGCAAACATGCATGTGTATAAGCACGTATGTTGAGTGTGCATATGTGTGAACATATAACAAATCATGATCTATAACATGGATATTATATTTATTACCATATAATATTTTTTTCATTAACAGCCACTAAGCGTATCTATATGCTCATGAAATACAAGAAAATGTCCCAGTATATGCTTTTAATCTGCATTAGACAGCAAAGACACTCATTCACAATTAACATAAACAAGAATACAGCAAACCTTATTTACTTATTTTGTTATATCTGTTATTTCTTGATTTGACACTCTAAAATGTTACTGTCTCAGTACTACTGACAGTACTTATTATTTGGCCAATAAGGTTCTTTATTATTATCCTACCCCAGATAATGTCACAGGACAGTCCAAGATTTTAGAAGGTGGTAAGACTGGGTTTCCCGGCTTTCTGATGCTTTTAATGACCCCAAAACATCTAGAACTGGCTCTAACCCCAACCCACCTATGTCCCTCTAGAAAGTGCAGCCTAGCAGCCTATCTGCTATCCCCTAAAATATTAGACTTTCCCGTGACCTGTGGATTTTCCCTATTTGGGGTAGGATATTATTAAAGCACCACCAATAATACTCACTGGCAGCCATGGTGGTGTAGGGGCTAGATTTTCTGCCTTTCGGCAGATTTGCTGGTTTAAATCTGCATCAAGTCAGAATTGGTTTTTAAATTGCCCTGGCACTCAGGGTGGTCCAGCCTACAGCTACCAGGTAATGTCCTGGGAAGTAAAGGTGACCAGCGTGATGTTGACCATATCACCTGTCTATGAAATATATGAGTCTTCTATCACAAACCAGATCCGGGACTGGCGTGAAAAGAGTCCTTTCCTTGATTTTTACTTCTAATAATCCTAACCGTAAAGTCGAAACGCTTTAGAATGTTAGAACTTACATAAAAATACATCATTCTATGCCAAAACCAGCAGTGCTGAATAGCTTAATGGACAAACAAGGAGCTTGTTTTAAATAGCAGTAAGAGTTAGACACACGGGTGCCTACTCTCCCCAATATTATTCCTTGCTTAATATCTTTTTACAAAGAAATGTAACAAGATCTACCAGCTTCTCCAAAATGATGCAACAGGAACAAAAAAAGAAGAGGCAGAACCGGGGAAAAAAAAGAAGAAAAAAAAAACAGTCCTGGTTCCTGAATTTGACTGCTTAAACAGGTCTCAAGCTCACAAACATCAAGTCCATTGCATGTGTCCAACAGAGGGGGAGGGAGCTGATAAGACAGTCAACAGCAACTTGTGACAAATGATGTATGACTATGATAATGATTATGAGCAATTTCACTGAACAGAAGATCCCTACTGCATTATGGAAGTCATGGTAGCACAGAGGCAAGCATGTTTGCCAGCCAGCTTAATGGTTCATGTGTTCACAATTAATATTACGGCAAAAATCTTCTTCTTATGTGTTCACCGGAGTAAACTCCGGCAGAAAGTTCTGGGTGTTCGTCCACCTCAGGACATTAGCCTTGTTCCAGAACCTGAGTGTTTTGTGCATATCAATTTTACAGATCTGACTTATTTGTATGCAGACTGTTGGTTGGTAGCCTCTTAGGCAAATGCACTCCAACTTTGAAGGAAGCTCCCAATAGGGACCCAGAATCTACAAGGGAAACGCAGAAATCAGCCCAGGCTAAAGCTGGTAAAAGGAAGTGCTCTTGGAAGTAAAGGCAGCCAGTGCGACATTGAGTCACCTATAAGGTGTTGACTGGTCTTTAAAGAAGCTAGCATCAGAAACCAAACACATTCTCCAGCATGGACAAGGCTTTATTATTTAATAAATACTGCTTTTACACAATGTAATGTAAATTTTTTTTTTTTTTTTAACAAAGACAAACTCTGAAATTCACACCCCCTCCCCCCCCCCCCCCTTTTTCCTTACCCCACACACACACAAAAGAGACTTCACTTTACAAGTTAATGTTTTGAAATCCCATTTCAGCAGAAAATGCTTCATTTTACAAGTTAATATTTTGGAATCCCATTCCAGCACAAAATGTTTCATTTTACAAGTTAATGTTTCGAAACCACACTCCAGCAAAACAATGTTTTATTTTACAAGTTAATGTTTTGAAATCATACTCCAGCAAAACAATGTTTTATTTTACAAGTTAATGTTTTGAAATCCCATTCCAGCACAAAATGTTTCATTTTACAAGTTAATGTTTTGAAATCCCATTCCAGCAATACAATGTTTCATTTTATGAGTTAATGTTCCAAATTCCCATTCCCACAATAAATGTTTTTTTGTACAAGTTAACTTTTTTGAGTGTTGACTTAAGAATCGACATCACAGTTAATTGGAACACTCCCATAAGTGCTCAGTCCCCATCTTCAGCAGCAAGCGAAGAGTTCAAATTTCGATGGTACCAGTAACTGTCGGATTGTATATCCGTCTCATCCTTCCCCTGAATGTGGAGCGTCTGCCTGATCCCCTGGTAACGCTTCGCAGCGCCATTCTCCTTAGACCGTAATGATCTATTTGTGCCTCCACACTGTTCACTCCAGGGTCCTCACAATATCTAACTTGTTATACATCAGTTCACCACCAAGTGGTGTCTATCTACCTGCTTATTTCCCAACATACTGGTTGGTTAATTTTTTGAAATTACATTCCCACACAAAATGTTTCATTTCACAAGTTAGCTTTTTTTCAGTCACATTCCGGCACAAACTTTTTTTTAAAAATGTAACAATTTTAAATCACATCTGCACACACAATTTTTCATTAACAATTTTAAATCATTTCTGCACAAAATGTTTCATTTTATGAGCTAGTGTCATGATATCACATTCCCACATAAGATGTTTCATTCTACAATTAATGTTTTAAAATCACTATCCATCCAAAGAGAAAAAAAATCATTTTACAGGTTAACATGAAATCACATTCCAACACAAAATAAGTTAATGCTTCTAAGTTCAAAAGTATGTGTACTTTAGAGTAACCTTCTGAGTTTGAAGTGCTGGAAATACAACTATGGAACAGAATGGGTTAAAGTAACAACTGGGATAGATGGGTTAAAATAACAGAAGAAATGGGTCAGGAGAAGTTCAGAAATATATACCACGTACAGAGAAACTATTTATGTAGATAAAGATTGGGGAGTTAGAAATATTTTGAATTAAGGCATGTGGAGTTCATAGCACTGAGAAATCTTTTGAAGTGAAACTAGAACCAAACTTAGAATATTATTTAGCTCTGACATCAAATCATTACTGCTGTATGGAGCTGAAACATGGAGAACAACTAACACAATTACTAATAAACTACAAAAATTCATTATTTAGTTGCTTTTCAGAATGAAAGGAATTAAATGATATGACTGAATCACTAATGTAGAGCTTCAACTGATAACCAAACAAATTCTAGTGAATCAAGAGGTGAGGAAAAGATGTTGGCACTGGATACGACATGCTGAGAAAATAAAAATATAATAAGAATGTCAGTGGACTGGAACCTACAAATCAAGTCAAATGGATTAAGGCAGACCATACTGGGGGAAAAAAACATGCAGAAGAAAACTAAGTGAACTCAAAAAAAACTGGGAAGGACATAGGGTGAGCTACGGGTGGTAGCAAAAGATATGTCGACTTTACTTGAGTTAGCTGAGTACCTATGCTTCATTAGCAGATAAAGAACAGAAGAAGAAATTAATAAATGCATGCTGAGTTAGTATAAAGAGAAGTATATAGACAAAGAGTCAATGAGATATACTGTTGGAAATATTTCACTATGTGGCTTAATTTCAAGAAAATCAGTAAATTCTAGCTTGAATGCTATTATAGTCACATAGTTGAAATTATAATCAGTGGCAATCCGGCAAAGTCACCTATGGCATTCTGCAAAGTCACCTAAGTTCCAAATGCAGTGACTTTCATCTAAGTTCATTTTTTGGAGCTGTTATTTGTATTTAATAATATAATAAATGTGCACAGATGAATTCCTACTCCAAACAGGTCAAATGTAAGTATTAACGTATTTTCCCAAGTGTAAGACACATTTCTTTTCCAAAGATATATGGTCTAAAAAACAGTGTGCATCTTATACAATGGTAGCAGATTTTATGTAATCATATAATTGTTTCTGCCAAATTTCTGGTCCCAAAATAAAGGTGAATCGTACACATGGGATTGTCTTATACCTAGGAAAATAGTGTACTTTTCATATAACTGTAAAATTTTCATTTGCCACTTCAGAGCGATGTGATTTTCCCCGAAGCAAGAATTTGGCACATAGATGACTTTGGCATAGTGCTAAAAAATGTCAGACGCATACAAGAATATGTCACTTATTTATTATTGTAAGAGTAAAAACCCTGGCCTGTCTTTATGCCCAGCTTGTTTTCGGCCACCAGTTTGTTTAAGATCTCTGAGGGCCTGTACAGTGGGTTGTCTGGGTCTCTTTGATGCCAACCTGGATGAGGACAAGACACAAGTTGTCAATGAAAAGCCGAAGTCGAGGTCTGCCTCCAATACAATGTAAAGGTGTGTATTTGTGAATAATACAGGTTTTAGGTAGAGTCATGAGAACAGGGTGCCACTGGCAGTGTTGCGTGAGGGGGGAAATCAGGAAGGGAAGAGGAATACAGGAGAAAATGTTTGCCAATAGGTGAAGAGCTGAGAATCTGAGGTTTTCTATCTTAGACCAACAATTTGTTAGTCTTACAGAACCGAACAATACAACTTTGGTACAGAATTTCTGTTCTTCTTGTTCATCATCTGTAAAATCATCTGTGGAAAGTTCTAGTCATGAGGGGACAGTATGCACTGGAGCAGGTCAACCAGTTCAAATACCTTGGAGTTGTAATAGACCGAAACGGAGGCATTAGGACTGAGCTGGCTACATGAAAAGCAGCTGCTGGAAGTCGTGGGCAAGGACAACAGCTCACAGAAGCCAGATTCAGGCTTCAGAAATGAGATATCTGAGAAAGGTGGTTCAAGTGACAAGAAGGGACAAAGTCGGTAAACCCGAGTCACAGTTACAATGGTTTGGACATGATTGCAGAATGGGAGAAAATCGGCTACTGTGGCAGGCATGGAAACCAGACCTCCAGGGCGACCCAGGGTCCGCTGGGAAGACAACATCTGACAGTCCCTGATGGACTGAGGACTGGAACGGAACAAAGACACACACACAACTGTTGACGAAGAAGTCTGGTGATCTCTCTTGCAAATCTCTACACCCCACAGAAGAAGAGCAAATAAGTAGGTAAGTAAGTAAGTATGTAAGTAAGGAAAGTTCTAGCTGTTCATCCACCTCCAGACTTTCAGGGCCTGAGTGTTGTATGCACATCCATTTTACAAATCTGGCTTATTTGTATGCAGACTGCTGGTTCCTTGCCTCTCAGGCAGATGCACTCCAACTTCAAAGGAAGCCTCTAATTAGTTGACTCTTATGACATGCTTGTTGGGGAGGCAGTGTGTCTATTCTTGTTTCCCCCACAATAGGGTCCTGGAACCTATATAGGGAGGAGAGAATTCATTATAGTAGCAATCGCAATATCAGAGGTTAACATAACAGAAGAATGGGATCGGAAAAATTAGGAAATGTATACTAGCCGAAGAATGTATAGCAAGTTCCCTGGTACTGAAAGAGATAATATATATGACCGCAACAATGAGTGAATTCTCATGCTATGTGTATGGACTTCCGTTTTCAAAATGGCGGACAGCAGCTGTGTTTATTGTCGCTGGCTGTCAACTCTCTCGGATTATTCTGTTCTATAATCATGGACTGCTATTTTATGCGCATTTTCAACGCAGGATATTATGTGTTTTTCGTGGGAACAGCGTGTATTGTGGTTGTGCTGTGTCGGGGCGGGATAATGACCGATAGTTTTGGAGCCTGACCACGCTGCTTCGCAATGTTTTGATCGCGTACTCGGGAAGACAGAATCTCGTCAGCAGGGGACTGCAACTGTCTAGAGAGCAAAACTCGATAAAAGCTGTCCCCAGAAACGAGTGTCAACCATATATTTGGTGGGGAGGAATCGACACATACGGTTAACTCAATGGCCATGGCCATGCTATGTGTATGAATTTTCTTAATTTGATCCAGTTTTGCTAGTTACACAATACAACACCACTGTCTGGAAAGATGTCAATAAAAATCTTTTAGCAATGGAACCTAGAAGATCAAGTAAACAAAGGGAGACAACAAATATATGGAGAAGGCAACTACAGATAGCTGACTTCTTCTTCTTCATTGCCCTTAGCCATTTTGTTCACTCCCAAGAAGATTAAATATGGTAAATTTTGGTTGCGACATCTCGATATAGTTACGAATACGTTGAATGGCCAGTGTAACTAACAACGATTGCTTGAAAGAAGCTAATGAAAGTAGATCGCTATATACAACAATAACAAAGAGACAAACACTGTTCTTTGGCCACATAATGAGAAGAGAGACATTGGAGAACATCGTGACAACTGGAAATATCAGTGATAAAGGAGTAGAAGTAGACCAAGAGAGATGATGCTAGATGGGCTAAAACGATGGCATGGAGGGGTATCATCAAGACGGCTGTTCCAGGCAACCATGGATTGTGACCTGTGGAGACGCACGAGCGCCTACGCCAGTTGGCAGGGCACATAATAATGATGATCTCAATATATGGCCACGTCTGAAGTGACCTATTCCCAAGAAGCACAGTTAAATTCCACTGGTCCCTTGTGCACCTGTGCAGTGATTCACAGGCTGGGATAGGAATATAATAACTACAAACAACATTTAGGAGTGTTTCCTTTATGATCAGGGCCTATGATTTACTGTTTGACGTTTAGTTAAACTTGCATTATAAACAAGTCCTCAGAATGTGTAAAGTGAACAAAGCTGAGTACAACCAATTCATGAGCAGAAAACATGGAACCAAAGCCAAGTTTCCGCAATCCCGCACTGAGGAATTTTTTCGTGGGTCAAGTCAAAATTTTTTCAGAAACTGTGTTTGTGTGCTGATTTGTTCATGACTAGAGGTGTTTGTGAGCCGAGGTACTACTATATGCAGCACAATGAAACGGGAAAGTTTACCTTGGGTCAAATTTGTATTCTTCAGATCATTTAGGTTACCAGCCAAACAACGGATGATCAACAGCATTTTCATCCCTACGTTATGTTATCAGTGCCAAACGTGGACAATGAACAAATCACATATGCAAAAAATAACTACGAGTGAAATGCGATGTCTCCGAAGAGTCACCAACAATACACGAAGAGACAGAGTCACAAACGATAGCATTAGAGACAAAGTTGGAACAAGAGCATGCATGAAACATATTGAAAGACAGAGAATGAAGTGGTTTGGCCATTTAGTAAGAATGCAACCGGATCAGATTGCCTATAAGGCCTTTTACAGTAGAACATCGGGAAGAAAGGCCAGAGGAAGACCCAGGAAAAAATGGATAGATGGAGTAGCTGAATATGGCCAGAAGATCCAGAAAACTGTCACTCAAATCACGCGAGAGGCTCAAAACAAATATTTTAAACCACGACACTGGGCTACAACCCGGTAAAAGTGAAGAAGACAATAGATAAATAGATAGATCATTTAGGTTAATACCCTTAATTTCGCAGTGTGGCATGAAGTTTGTTAGCCCTGGCCCTACTTATGACCCTAAAGGATGCCAAGTTGATGTCAAATTGTCCTATAAGCCTCAGTGACAGAGGTCACGGGATCACAGCATGAGTCAGCTGAAAGATATTGTTTGTCTAAGCCCAGGGAATCTTCTTCTTCACGTTCACCAGCTGTAAACTCTGGCGGAAAGTTCTGGTTGTTAGTCCACCTCTGAACTTTAGCCATGTTCCAGAACCTAAGAGTTGCATGCACATCTGTTTTACAGAGTTAACATATTTGTATGCAGATTGTTGGTTCCTTGCTTCTCTACCAAATGTACTCCGACTTCAACGGAAGCCGCCAATTAGTCGACTCTTATGACATGCTTGTTGAGGAGGCAGTGGGTCTATTCTTTTTTTTCCCATAATAGGGCCCTCACATGGGGAAAGCCCAGGGAATGTAATCCATTTAATGTTCCAGTGTATTCATGTTTATTGACTAACCTTCCATATACAGTAAAATTTTGATTAGCTGTCACTTGTTTAACTACCAGTCGCTGTTATCCATCATTGTTTATAAAAGAAAATTAAAAATAAATTGATGACGATGGAGGATCAATTCTTAACCAAAATCCAACAAGCCCACTCAGAAGCAGAAACAATGTTATCAAACTGTACTGACTGGTGTAAAATGCAAGAGTAGGCAAATGTGTAAGATACAGAACATGGCCGTGGAGAAAGCTCGAGCCTCAAAGACAAGATGACAGATTCTGTACATTGCTACTGTTATACTGAAGTTTATATTGATCATTTTGTAATGCAAAATTAAATAAATCATGTATGTATTATTCCCTTTTGAAGGATTTTATTGGCCTTAAAAAAGCCACTGGGACACAAGGAACTCCCTTTTACTCCCCAAATGTTATTTTTAGTTACTATATTGAAATACCTTCATATCAATCCCTGTGCAAGTGCATACAGAACCATTGGAATTTAACTATGTTTTTCGATAACAGATCACTGCAGAAATAGAAATATTTTAGCATTCTCAGGGCAATAGGGTTTACATAATTAACTGTTTTAATTGCTTACCATTAATACATGGGATATGATGATATAATGAAATATCAAAGTCATTACCATCAACAATGAATTTAGTTGTGTCCAGCCCCACATAATCCAAAAGTTCAAACGGTCCCATTGGATACCCAGCTCCCAGCTTCATGGCCACATCTATGTCTTGTGGAGTCGCATCACCTGTTGAAGTAACACATAAATTATCACAGATGATGACTACAGACTCCAAACACATCTAATTCAACTATACATACAGAGAGAATGGCTAACAGAGAGATCAAAAATGGGTACACAAAAAAACTAAATGGGAGTAGCCATGAACCAGGAACACAGCAGAGGGATATTATATAGGCAGACCTAAAAAACTATTGAAATCAAAAGCTGGAAACAGAAGACCAATCCTAAAGATAAATAATGATACGTGCTGCAATGAACCTCAAGGGCTCAGAATGCTGAACAAGGAGGAGGAGAAGCAAGAGAAAAAGATAAACAGATAACCAAGACCATTGCTCGCCCCATCCTTTTTCAGCAACTGTTGGCTATATACTTTTTCCAACATGGCTCACATGAAGTATGTCAGCAAATACTTGTGATGGCAACAAATGTCCTGAAATCTTACACTTTAACTATGGAATACTTTTTTTAAATGCAGGCTGTGATTCCAATAGGAGGGCCATGTTAGCGCTTTCAAATCCAGATGTGACTCGCTGCAGCCCACAGCCGGTGTTGAAACCGGGCGGTTTCCTGCGTTCACCCTGCCTCCAAACTCTATGAAATGAGTACCAGAGTTTAACACTCTGGGTAAATAGAGAAACATCACTGTAGCTATGGAGTTACATGCAGACAGTGACACAGGCGGACCGTTTCTTACCAGCTATCCATACTAGTGGCAGAGCAATTATGGTTTATAACCGTGTGCATTGACCCTGGTTCACATCTCCCAACTTTACCTTTACCATCAGCACAATAGAACACTATCTTCTGGAAATATGGAATGGTGCTAACCAGAAATTCCAGCAACGGTTATAAACAGGATGGTGTACTTGAGGGCTTCACCAGTACATTACAGGGTCACTTCCATGGGCCAGATTTCTGACTTGCTTATGCCTGATTGGATTTATCATATGACGGTTTTCTTTGGGATAAAGTAGCTAGTCTCAGATCAACACACTTTAGTCCCCTCAAATATTTATGGAATATAAGTTAGTGTCCAAACTTTTTGGGTATTAATCAGCATCAAGCCAGATTTTTTTAAAAACCTTGGCTACCAGGTTAGACTCAGCCTAAATTAGTACTGGGTAAAAGTCATGGGAAGTAAAGGCAGCCAGCAAGCTGTTGAATACATTACCTACTGAGTGGAGCTATGTCTATAACAAATTATGACTACAGCATCCCATTGTGATGAAAATTGGTCCTTTATGTAAGTCACATTGTTAACTATTCTTTGTTACCTATATGAGTCCAGGTAACATATGAGCCAACCACTATGCTACAGTGTGTTGAGACAACTGCAGATCCTTTATAGGATGTTGCAAGCCAAACCCAGCATTTGTTGGCTATTTATAGTTTCAATGGGCAATCTTAAGTTTACTAGTTTGCCAAGGAAGTTCAGTGCCCCATTGAGGGGGAGGGAAAGACCCACTCCCTGACTGTCACAAGATGTTAACATACAGTGCATCAAAACAATTTCTTGTAGGCTGGATATTTTAAAAAAAGCAGACTGAACAAGCTTTTGTTTATGGCTAACTTGTAAAAAAATGAAAGTGAGTTACAAAATACTATATTTTTCTTATATAAGAGGATATGTTTAACTAATTTTTTTTTTAAGTTTTAAATTGGGTGTTGTCTTATATAAGAAATGTACTAAAAATATTATTTATTAATTTTTGGCACAAAAATTAAGGGTAGTCTCATAAATGAGGGTACCTCATACAGTAGAAAAAAATATGGTTGTTTTTGTAGTCTATCAGACTATGATATATATAGACTTATGGATGCCCTTTGGAGTTCTAAGGGGTTGGTACACAGTGCAGAGATTCTCAATGTGCGACATGTGTAAGGAAACTGGGGCACATAATAAGATATCTTCCTCTCTTCTCTTCTTCTTCTTCTGTTCTCTACTCCTGGAATGTCTCGCAACAACAGGGCAGGAAGAGATCTCTGGAATAGGCTTTTTGTGTGCTTGTAAAAAATACTTTTCTGTGTCTCTGATATTTCTGCAGTCCATATTCTGCATGATCAACTTCTGGCTCTGTTTACTGTTGTATCTGAATAACAGTGCTCATTGTGGTGCCCTGTCTGATGCCAATCTTGTTACATGGCTAAACCATTTAATTTGTTGTTCACCTTATAAAGTTCAGTATTGTTTATGTGCAGATTCTCCTCCTGATATCATCATTTCTAATAAGATATCAAGGTGTAAAAAGAGTCATCCCTTTAAATAATTAAAAGCTTAAAGTTAAGAGAATGGAACTTTACTGCACTGGGTTTTATCCCATATGGTTTGGTCTTTCTCCACAGAATGGCTAGCTGCCTTTAAATAGAATTAGTTAGTTAGTCAGTCGAGGTTTCAACATCACTGCAATCAGGTTTCCCTGTACTTGCTCAGTTTCTGTGCCAGTACGAATCAAATGAAACATCCCTCACTGCTGCATATGAAAAATTGGTGAATAAAAACTAACTTCAGAACAATTAGAATGTAATCATAATGTATGAGCTCCGTAGCTCCAGGAACAATCCCAAGGGATCTTTAAAAAACTTGGACACATGAACCAATAGACGCTGTCCATGAAACACACCCAGGATCTTCAGATCGCAAGCCAAGCAGCTAGACTACATCACTGTGAAGACTTAGAAGCTTTGCAAATTATACACAACAAACAATCAAAGACTTTTTAACTAAAATCAGTTGCTTCTACAAAGTCCATTACCTCTTTCTACAAGTCGAACTGCTTCCAACATGTAAGGCACAAGTAGTCGGTTGACAATGAAACCCGGAGTGTCCTGTTTACAATTAAAAAAATATTTCACAATCTTAATTACGCGCACAGAGAATCACAAAATAACAACACATATGTATTAAACAAAACATTCTCCAGGGGCAACACCTATAAACAAGGGGACAAAAAGAGCATCACCAAAAAAAAAAAAAAGCTAGCTACATCGTGTTGCAGGAAATTATTCAGGAAGATAACCTGGTCAACAATTACTTGATGATGTTGGATGGGTCAGCCAAAAGATGCAAATATCGCAGGTCCATTTGGGGGAAAGAGAAGCACAGACCCACTGCCCCTTAGCAAGCATGCTATCCAAGGCAAGTTATTTAGGGTTTGCTGAAATTGGCTGAGTTGGATCAAAAGGTACAAATAACACACTGGCTGTAAACTGCAACATAATGTAACAAGTGCCTTTTAAAGGGTAAACAAAGAAGAAAAAGAAGATGGTGATGATAAAAGAGAAGGAGAAAATTGTGATATATAATAGTGTTATATAATTAACTACAAGTAGCATTGTCAGTGTGTTCCTGGGACCACTGAGGGAGGTCAAGCACTGTAGCCTACTAAGTATGCCATAACAGGTAACTATGGATGGCTGATCTTGGGGTTAGTACCATCCAACAGAAAACTGTAGTCATAAAAGCCTACAAACTATGAAAAAAATCTCAATAAGAAAGAATTAGAACGTTAAATACTGCCTTTACTGCCTGTTTTTATCACTTTCAGGCCAGTGTAGGACTGGGCAGGCAGAGAATTCATGAGTCTCCTCTTCTTCTTCGCGTTCACCAGCTGTAAACTCTGGCGGAAGGTTGTGGTTGCTCGTCCACTACTGAACCGCAGTCCTGCTCCAGAACCTGAGTGTTGCGTGTGCATCAGTTTTACAGATCTCATTCTCTTGAATACAGACTGTTGGTTCCTTGCCTCTCCGGCAGATGCACTCAGACTTCAAAGGAAGCTCCCCAATTAGTCGACTCTTACGACATGCTTTTGGGGAGGCAGTGAGTCTATTCTTGTTTTCCCCACAATGGGGCCCCAGAACCCACACGGGGGTCATGAGTCTGAGAATGTAACTCTTTTAGGACAGCATTTTTTCTGGGGTTTGGACAGCATTTATTTTGAGCGAAATTGTTTTTGTGTAACACGACAAGGCTAAAACCTTCCTGAAGAAAAAAGTATTGGCTGTATCGGGACTTATAATATATTAAATTAAAGATAAATGAGTGCAGAATAAATCTTAACTACTTAAATGTCAGTATAACAACAAAATATTATTAAAATCACACAACATTTAAGGATGTTAGACACATATGCAAATTGTTGACATAAACAATTTTGTGCTTACTTTTTTTTTTTAAACTGGTTCAACAACATGCTATCCAATTCTAAGAATACACATGCCTTCTTTGTTCAATTATGTATTAGCTAGTCTTTATTTGAAACAATTAATTTAAATACTTTGGATATTATAATCATTTTTGTATGACATGTCAATTTTCACAACAACCGAAAATAGGAAAAACAGTTGATAATTGAAATATTTTGTGAAATTTTCATATCCTAAACTAAATTTTCGCTAGTAGATTTGTCACTTAGAAATCAATCATAACATCAAGACTGTTGTCACCATCACTTAAGGATTCATCAACGATGGAGCAGTATGAACAGTTCTAGACCTTTTCCCTTATCATTTAGTATAGAAAAATCACGAAAAAATTGTATCTCATCTAAATAAATTTTTTTTTAAATCACAAAATAATTCACCGACCACGATGAACGTCACAAATGAAAGTACATCCTGTTGTTAATCCTAAATGTTAAAAAACTTGTTTATAAAATTCATTTTCCCGACAAATGGAACAAAATTAGAGTGTCTCTATCATGATCCAGTAAACTGGCTTTACGTCTTTAAGGGATAGACTTAATCTTAAACAGCACAATGTGTTTATGGTCGAGGCAACCAGAACAGCGAGAAGCAGAACCTTAAATCTCCCTCGAAACCAGAAAGCAGTAAAAGAGGAAGTGAAGAGTAAAGACAATTACAGAAAAACAGAGTCAAATTTAACATGCAGAAAATAACCATTCCATTTATCAAACAAAGAGCATACCTTGCATTGGACAGTCTTCTTGCCTAGAGCTTTCCCAAAAGACTCAAGTGCAGTGAACGTTTCATCAGTTGTTTCTGGGAGTCTAATAATCTATTGAAATGTAAAGATACTTATTAATTACATAGATACCTTTTATTATAAACAGTTTTCCTTCTTTCAAATGTTAATACGTCAACAGCAACAGAAGAATAATGTCATTTAATGTTCATCCTCATTATCCTATTGCACCATTATATATTTTACAGGCCATGTCTATCCCCCCCCCCTCTTATCAATGTTTGCTTTAGAGTTTCTTTTAGACGTTCTTGTTTCTTCAGTCTTCTTCTTCTTCGTGTTCACCAGCGGTAAACTCAGGTGGAAAGTTTTGGTTGTTCGTCCACTTCTGCACTGCAGTCCTGTTCCAGAACCTGAGTGTTGCGTGTGCATCCATTCGATTTACAGATGTGACTCATTTGTATGCAGACTGCTGGTTAGTCGACTCTTATGACATGCTTTTGGGTAGGTAGTGGGTCTATTCTTGTTTTCCCTATAATAGCGTCTCAGAACCCACACAGGGAGTTTTTTCACTCAATTTGCCTGTGGTTTTCTTCTTCCCAGAGTGTGACCAATATAGTGTAACAACTTTGTCTATAACCGTTTCTTCTCTTTTGCATTCACCCATTTTAAAGGCTGTTGACACACTGTGTCCTGGTTTGCAGCTAGGCTGTGATATCTGCATCTTTCAGCTCAACACACCGAATTTCAGTCACATTTTAAATGGTTGTCCATTATGACATGCTTAAGTGGCAGTGGGTCTATTCTTCTCCCCCACTCCTAGAATGAGGCACAAGAGCCCACACAGTGAGTCTGCAAGAGTGGTTGTCAAGTAAAAAATTGGTGTATCTTGGAAAGTAAATAATTCATGTAATGTCAGTACTACAAATATTACTGCTTTTTTTTTTTTATATTACTCAGTAAGGGCTTAGAAGTCTGGTCTCCACCTCTCAACATACAAACTGATACACGCAGCTGCGGATCGCAGACTGTGGAAAGGCATGATTGCTTAAGCCAGTCTGCAAGGTACTTGATGATGATGATGATGATGATGCACCTCTAACATGAGAAGTGCTAGAAATACATTCAATTAGGAATAGATAATTTAACATCATAAAGAGCTCAAGGATGTCATATCTATCCCTTAAACCGGGTGGTGAAGTGGCCTGAAGTACCTCCTGGTTTTAAAATTATATTTAAAAATATGTTTTCGTTTGCACTTGTGCTTGTCTTTTTCATTCTACTTAGCTCCGATAAAAAGTTCTTATTGTTCAACCACTTCTGGACTTTAGTCTTGATCCGGAACTTGAACTTTGCATGCACATCCGTTTTTCAAATCTGGCTTATTTGTATGCAAACTACTTCTTCTTCTTCGTTCACCGGCTGTGAATTCTGGCGGTAGGCCCAGGTTAATTGCCCGCTTGAACTTTAGGCACTTACCTGGACCTGAGTTTTGTGAGTACAACCGTTTACCTGGCTTTTTTGCCGTTCCCTGCCTCGCGAGCAGATGTACCTCGACTTTGAGGTCAGGCCTATTTCTAGGGTGACTGTGGCCAATGTATGCAAACTGTTGGTTCCTTGCCTCTCAGACAAATGTATTCCGACTTAGAAGAAAAAGCCCCTAATTAGTTGTCTCTTAGGATATGCTTGTTAAACAGAGGGTTTTGGGGCTCCACTGGGGTGAGGAGTGCAGTTGTCTATTCTTTGTTGTCCAAACTGGAGTCCCAGAACTCACACTTGTGTTTATGAAGAACAGAACGAATAGAATTATAATTATATGACACAATTGCTAGAATAAAGTTGCTTATGGAGATGGCATAACCAATTTCAATGCAGCAAGAGATGAGGAAAAGACACTGGAGCTGGGAAGAACACATACTAGGAAGGCCCCTAATATTCCTTTCACATGCAATTTAAGGGCCAAAGAGACAGGCTTCGTAAAAACATATGGTGATGAGAACTCCACACCCAACAACTCTTATCAAGGGAGGTAATAGAGTTTGCATATCTTTGTAATGTCCCTTTACATGTGACTGATGATGATTGTGTGTCCTAACCTCAACTAGTTTCATAACTGGTACAGGATTGAAGAAATGCAGCCACATATGTGTCCTTACCTCAACTAGTTTCATAACTGGTACAGGATTGAAGAAATGCAGCCACATATGTGTCCTTACCTCACCTAGTTTCATAACTGGTACAGGATTGAAGAAATGCAGCCACATATGTGTCCTAACCTCAACTAGTTTCATAACTGGCACAGGATTAAAGAAATGCAGCCACATATGTGTCCTTACCTCAACTAGTTTCATAACTGGCACAGGATTGAAGAAATGCAGACCACCAAATCTGTCTAGCCTATTGGTGGCTGTAGCAATATCTCTGATGGGAATTGATGATGTATTGCTAACAAATATTGTATTTCTGAAATATAATTTGGAAGAGTTAGAATTTATTCAAATTTTAGCTGGCTAATATTACAGACACCAGATGTACATAAAATTTATTACTGGCAAATCCGCCATGTGGGCTGGCACCTGAGACAACAGATAACATCCTCCAAGACTGTCAAAATAAATGAGGTAGCAATCCTGATGGGGAATGATAGAATTAAACCAACCATTATTATAATGTTTTTTTTAAATACATTTTTCTCATAATGCATTTTTTTACATCCTTATTTTGTATTTTTGAGATATAATAGTTACTATATAATGTTGTCGTCCCGATGTGGTATGCAATTTTTTTGGTTATTTTAAGCCCCACCCTGGCTTCTGCCGGGGGCCCTGAATATAGACGGGCCTTAAATATGGCCTAGCCATAAATATGGCCATAATGGCTGAAAGAGGTTTGCGGGTCCTCTCCATGGGTGATCCTCCTACGCATGGTGGCACTTTGTGTCATCAGGTGTTTATCACTTGTGTGATGTCCTGGTGGGGTACAACTTTACTACCTACCTTGAAGTATAAGGATTTCACAAATCTTTTCCACTGTTGTCAGTCTGTTGCTTTTCTGCCCATGACATCCCAGCTTAGTACATGATATTCCCCGTGTGTGTTTTCCAGGGCGCCTTTGTGGGGAAAACAAGAATAGACCCACTGCCTACTCAAAAAGCATGTCATAAGGGTCATCTAATTCGGAGCTTCTTTCAAAGTTATAGTGCATCCACTTGAGGCAAGGAGCCAACAATCTGCACCCAGATGAGTCAGATCTCTCAAACAGATGTGCACGCAAAACTCAGTTCTGGAATAAGACTGCAGTTCAGAAGTTGACGAACAAACAGAACTTTCCATTGAATTTCACAGCTGGTGAGTACAAAGAAGAAGAAGAAGTGCATGCTTACACATTTTATCATGATGAATATTAGATTAAAATGACTGACAAAGATTTCATTCAATCATCATGATGGAGAGCAAGCAGAAAAAAATGGATCCAATCCTTCTTACACAGCAGGAGAACTAGAGTCAGTCTTGATGGCCAGCAGAGTAGAAAAGTGTTACTTCGGCAAGGAGTACCACAGGGAGGAGTTATCTCTCCAACTCTCTTTCTTGTGTATATAAATGATCTGGTGAAAGACCTCCCTACGGGAGTAAAAGCTGCCCTGTATGCAGATGATCTGGCACTTTGGTGTACCGATGAACACACCACAGTGGCAAATATAAGAATGCAGCAAGCAGCAGATCTCTTGATGACATGGGCAGAAAAATGGCATGTTGCCATCAACACGAACAAAACATCCACAACGCTTTTCTCTCTTTCTCCCAGGGACAAAGCTGCTAGTTTTCACCTAGGAACATCCTTGCTAAAGGAAGAAAGCTTCCCCACTTATCTTGGAGTAACATTATCATGGAGCAAACATATAGAAAATGTAGAAGGGAAGGCCAGGAGACGACTAGGCCTACTTAGAAAATTGGCAGGTACAGGATGGGGAGCGAATGGAAAAACCCTAAAGAAAGTTTATAATGGAGCGATAAGACCCCACTTGGAGTTTGGTGCAACAGCATGGTCAACAGCTGCTAATTCCCATCTACAATCGTTAGACAGAGTGCAAAATCAAGCTCTTAGACTCATCACAGGATCCATGAAAACTGCACCAATCCTGAAGATACAGAAAATAACTGCAATGCAAACACTGTCCTATAGAAGAGACACTAAAACTATGATCCAGATGGAGAAGTTTAATAGTATGCAGTCACACCCAATGAATAAAAGGTTAGATGATCTGGCATTAGGGCGTCTCAAACGTAGCAGCTTTGTCCATCAGGGGAAAAGACTTAGAAGACAGTATCAAGCTTATCTACCTATTAGAACAACACCGCTGAAACCTACCCTATACCCTGTACCTTGGGAGCAAGTCAGTGATACAATACAGATTATGACTTCAGTCAATGGATTCATAACTGGAGATGAGTCCAATGATCTTCAAAAACGAACAGCTGCACTTAGCATGATTCATGAAAACTATCCCGAACAGTCATGGATACATGTTTACACAGATGGATCAGCAACCAGTGCGGTTAAAAATGGGGGTGCTGGAGTTTTTATTACATACCCAGGCAACCACCGCCACACAAAGTGGATACCCACTGGTAAATTTTGTTCCAACTACACAGCAGAGATTGTAGCACTAGAGCAGGCTGCCGAAATGTTACACAACACCAGTTCTGACTGCCACCAAGTGGTTATATTCACAGTGCTTCAAGCCCTCAAGAGTGGCAAACTCCCTCACTTGAGATCTGAACTTGGCAAGGTGGCTGCCCACTGTGGTATACCAGGAAACGAAACCGCAGATAAACTTGCTAAAAAAGGGGCAGAATGTGACCAGGAAGAGAATGCAGTAACAAACTATGAGAAGAAAAGGGCCATCCAGGCTATTAGAAGTGAACAGAGTCTGGCCAAAGATGACTACCACTTACTTGACCGGCATGGGCAGGTCATTGTCCTACGTCTCAGGACAGGACATAACAAACTTAACCAGCATATGCACAGGCTTCGTCTAAGTAGTTCACCTTTTTGCCCTTGTGGGCTATGTGTGCAGACTACAGAACATGTCCTGCAAGACTGTCCCTTGTTCAGCCCATTAAGAAAGGAATACTGGCCCAGTGAGTCATCACTGTACACAAAGTTGTATGGGACTAAAAATGAACTCATAAAAACAGTCAAGTTTATCACAAGAACCTGTCTGTCGGTGTAAATCAGAAAGCGAACACAAGAAGAAGAAGAAGAGGCACGGAAAAGTCTGCATACAAATAAGTAAGATCTCTAAAACGGATATGCATAGCAACATTCAGGTTCTGGAACAAGATCAAAATCTAGAAGCAGACAAACAACCAAAACTTTGCGCCTGAGTTTACAGCCGGTGAACACTTAGAAGAAGATGAAGGAAAGCATGCAAAGAAATTACTTCAGCCTGATACTTACGGAGGTGCAGCTTTGTCAAGGGATGCAAACAGTTTTCTTTTAATTTCTAAATTCTCTACAATGGCTTCAATGACTAGGTCTGCAGATTTCACAGCAGCTTTAGCATCTGTCTGCAACGTCAGGTGACTCATGACATCACTGATGTACGTCTGCTGAGCCTGATAACACAAAAATTGAAAACTGGAATTATAATCAAACGGTTTTCATAAATTAAAGTTAAAAGTAAAAGAGCTGATTTTACGGAACCTGGTTTTATCCTACATGGCTTGGTCGTTCTCCAGAGAATCATTAGCCACCTGCCAAGAAAGCTACACAAAGCAGGAAGCCCCTTGCTCAAGTGATGATCCCTGGGGGTATCTGTAAAAAGTGCACTTTTGAGTCAAACAACATGGCCCGTGAAACGAACACATGACCTTTAGAATATGAAATAAACAGCCTTGACCACATCAACATGGAGACCCCGATGGTAAAAATTATGAAAGCATATCATCCTCATTATCATCATGTGTTATGCTGATAAGTAAAAGCTGTCATAGCTCAGCATCTCACAAGATCACCAGTCTCTGATCAGATCTGTGTTCTTATCTCGCTTATCATGAAAGAAACAGACTGAGGTATTAAGATTGTGAACTCGACACCACACAGTCCGCAGCCATATTAGAAAAAGTTCAAGACTGGGGACTCAGAACTTTGCCCATGTGGACACACACCACAGAATGCTGAATATGCACTGTAAACATACTCTGTGAGAGTCGCCGTGGTGTAACGGCTAGACTCTCGCCTGCCGATCGGAAGGTAGTGAGTTCAGGTCCAAACTGAGCCGGGCTTTTTTCAAAGCCTTGAGCGGGTGCAAGCTGCAGTCCTGGGAAGTAAAGGCAGCTGGCGTGATGCTGACCACATTCACCCACCAAGTGCTGATTGGTCTTTAAAAATATAGATCTAGCTCAATATGCCTAAAGGTGTGGAAAAAGGTACTTTACTTTACTTACATACTCTTTAATACTCTTTAAATGCAGTAGGAAGATCTCAGGTTTGGCCAGTTGGCATTGTGGTGGAAACCAAAGTGTATGGGTCAGTGGAGGACAAGCCTCATAACCCCAACCTGCATATAGGTCTTCGGCCTTCACATCTGAAAACCACTTGCAGGGGAAAGATCCTGCTTACATTATCTAGCCAGGCCATCTATCTGTTCAGTCTTCACCTAGTTCTTTTTCCACCAAGTTTTCAAGTTAATTTCTCCTCATAACATGAATGGCTGGACACATTTCATAAACATATTCATACCATTGTAACAGTTTAAACCAATTAAAAATGTGGCTGTTTCATTACTATGATGGAATCAAATTCTCTTTTGGGATTAAAGTGAATGTTTACAACTCAATCCACTATCTCATAGTTTATATTTTCATCACACGTTCACAATTAAAGTATTGACTTGGCATTCTAGTTAGTTAGTTAGTTGACAGACTATCCTCAATACACACTGAACATTCAGTCCATAAGTGTTTGCAATAACCCTATCAGTATATCCTGCAACGGCTGAAGACACCAGTTTTGTGGTGGTTAACTTTTCTTCATTGGTTTCCTGTATAGTGCTCATCTCTGTCCCCCCCCCCCACACCCCATTTTTTTAACCTGCTGTAGTCTGGTGATGGCTGCTGATTCAGTTATCACTTGATTTTCACAAATGTCTTATTTCTTAACTCTTTGAGTCCGAAGGAACGCATCATACGTTCATAGGTTACTGCCTAGAAGCTCAATTAATGCATGATGTGCCGATTTTACGTCTCTTTTGACTACCCCTTGGGCCTGTGAAGCTAAATCCTCTGGGACTCAAAGAGTTAAAGGGTATTCAGTATTTTGGGAGCTGCCATGGTGTAGTGACTAGATGTTCGCCTGCAGATACAAAGGGTTATTGGTTTAGGTCTTGACGGAGCCAGACCAACTGCCAGTCAAGGCTAAGGGCCTGGTCTGCCCTGCCATAACATACAGTATTCAGGCTGCATTTCCTCTTCCTAGGATAAGGTTATTATCCTCCCCAATGCGCTCCTCCGCCCGTAGCTGTTGGCATATTATGGGATGTCAGGTTTGGTAAATGCTGCCCAACATTCAGCCTTAACAGAAGACAGGTGGTACCGGCAACTGTTATACGCAGCTCAGTCGGATCTCACCAAGGCCTGACTGGCACTAATGCACTCATCAAAATCATCAGGTGCCTTGCTGACTGGTGTGGGCAATTATGCCTCTCCAAAATTTGCAATCTCCAGCAGCACGTATTAGTTCATGTGCTGACACACCTCCATGCCATACAACAAGACTGTCAAGAATCTTCTCTCATTGTCTTTCTCTATTCCTCCTTCCACAAATCTTCCCAGTGGTCACAACATGTTCCATTTTCCCTCTTCTCATAACATGGCCGAAAAATGATGACTGTCTTCTTCTGATGTCTGTGATAAGTTGTCTTTAGGCTCCCGCCCCTTAAAAAACCTCTTGGTTGCTCTTTTTGGCTCTCCAAAGTATTTTAAACATTCTTCTGTAAAACCTCTAATGCACTACTTAAGTAATAAATAACTTCACACACACAAAAAAGTATGTATGAATAATCACTTTAGGGTCATCAGGAAACTTCTTCTTGACTACTCGCCCAAGACTTTTCTTAATGGCGGCTGTGGCTTTGTTAATAATTTCGTCTGTCTGGTCCACAACTGTGACTGTATGGCCATTTGCTGCGGCCACCTGTGAATGATAAAATAAATGACTACATTACATGGCTGAGGAGTTATGTAGTGGTTAGACACTTGTCTGCCGGTCTTGGTTTCATAGAGGTGAAATGTTGTATAACTGGGCTCCCAGTCTAATAATGGTATCAGGAAATGTCACTGGAAGTAAAGGTGGCTGGCATGATGTTAACTACATCAACTATCAAGTTCTGATTGGTCTAGACTGTGTTGGCACTTCTTTATCTTCTTCTTCTTAATGTTCACCCACCACAACTCTAGTTGTTCATTCACTTCTGGACTTTGTTCTTGTTCCGGAACTTGAGGTTTATGTGCATATCAGTTTGACTGATCTGGGTTTTTTTTTTGTAAGTAGACTGTTGGTTCCTTGCCTCTCACATATTCACTCTTAACTTCAAAAGAATCAACCTTAATTAATCACCTTGTACAAAATGCTTTTTAGGAGGCCATATGCTTATACTGTTTTTCCCCCAAAATAGGGCCCCAGAATCCACATGAGGTGGGGGCGCTTCTGACAATTGACTTATGCATTTAATGCATGTGTATGCTATTGGCTTTGCCTTGACTGTGTCAGTCTGTGTCAGTTTTTTTTCCCAAGGGACAGTGATGAGTATACTGCGTGGCTTTCATTGGCACAGAAACGGAGCAATTATGGTTTGACCCATTTCCTGTGAAAATGTAAATGAAGTTACATGTTCTATAAAAAAAATTATTGATTTAGCCCAATATGCCCCATGCATGAGTGCAAAGAAAAGAGCCTGTCCTGTGACTGAATTTTCACTTACTTAAATAAAGCAGTTGTTTGTGGGTTCTCATGCTGAAACAGTAAGCACCATGAAGGCTGTTGGTTTTTTGTGCTTTATCATTTCTCTCATGACTGCAATATTTTCGGGGATCTTTGTGGGCTTCCTGCTACCCATTTTAGACTGGATACAACTGAGTCAAGGTCTTTTTCCTTCCTTCTCCTTTGCGTTCACTGGCTGGATATCCAGCAGAAAGTTCTGGTTGTTTATCCACTTCTAGACTTGTTCCGAAACGTGAGGTTTTTTATGTGCACATCCATTTTACAGATATGGTTTATTTTATGCAGACTGCTGGTTCCTGGACTTTCAAACAGATGCACTCTGACTTCAAAGGAAACATCCCTAACTACTCAACTCTTATTACATGCTTAGGCAGTGGGTCTATTCTTTTTGTTCCCTACAAGAAGGCCCCAAAACCTGTACAGGGAATTTGTTTATTTTGGGTTTTTTTATTTGGCTGGATGCAGATTCTCACCTGTAGATATCTTCTTTATTACAAAGCTAAATGAAGCAACACAAATAGTTAGATGCAAGTCTTAAAATGAAAAGAAAACGGCAGTTTAAAAAAAAAAAGTTAAAGGGTTAGCTTGTCACTCACTCCTGAGCTGAAACTTCTTCTTACAGTCCATGCCAGGTGGCGTTGGTAATCATGTGTATCCACAACTTTCTGTCTCGTGTACTTTCAATAAATTCTAACAAAGATTATCCTCTCAGTTTCCCTAGGCCCCTTTCTTTCCTCTAGCTTTTCCATTTCCACCGTGTTCTCATTTCCCCTTCCTCATGACATAACCAAAATGTGTAGATTGTCTTCTTCTGATGTGGGCAATCTGTTCTTTTTGTGAGTCAGTGAGCTGACATGGCTAATAGTAAAATATTTGTTGATGCGGAGATCAGAAGACTCAAGGGCATGTTTGACATGCAGAGAATGACTATCACTTAAGTATAGGATTCAGCTATTTGCTTCATTTTAATTAATTGTTACTGTGGTATGCACCTGACAAGATTTAACGAAATATGCCAGGCAATAAATTGTGCAGTCTATTGTTTGTGTCTTCTTTGTTCAAATATCACTAAAGTGGCTGTGAATGACCAAATCAATGGGTAACACTCCATAATAATGATGGAAATTCTTTTTTTTTTTTCTTAAAAGGGCGGTTAGCGCACTTTGTTGTGGTTTACAGCTAGGCAGCAATATCTGTGCCTTTTGGCCCAACACATCTGACTTCAGCAGAAGCGTATTGGTCACCTTTTATGACTTGCTTACGGAGATGGTGGGGCATAAAAAATACTGAGGGTAGCTCTGCAAATTTCAGTAACAGATACATAATTAACTTTATCACATAAAGTAGCTTCTTATAGTTCACGACGAGTAACATTTGTTTATTTGTCTGTTTGTGTGTCTGTCTGTTTGTATTCACCGGCTGCAAACCCAGGCAGAAAGTTTTGGTTGTTTGTCTGTTTCTAGACTTTGGCTTTGTTTAAGTACTTGAGAACTGCATGTGCACCGGTTTTACAGAGCTGGCCTAACTGTATGGAAACTTTTGGTTTCTTCCTTACCTCTCGGGCAGATGCATTCTGACAATGAAGGAATCTCCTTATTAGTCTTCTATGACATGCTTCTTACAGAGGCAGTGGATCTATTCTTGTTTTCCCCCACAACAACCCACATTGGGGAATCTGGGCATGGTGACATTTGTAAAGATGTCTATCCATAGTTTTATCTAGTTTTGTACTGCCAGTCATTTCTTCTACAAGTGCATAGCATTTCAAATAGAATATTCTTTAATGTTACATAAACTTAAGACGTAGCTACTGACTGATATAACCTTATTATGAATTATGCCCTGACCTCTAGCTTTAGCACCACCACCTTTGAAAAAGATCACAAATATATTTTACTGTGTGTGTCAATTTGTAGGAATTGTTCTGGTAGCTAAATGGAAATACGAAATCTGTACCAGCCACCCTGACAACTTGCATATGGTAGAACCTGAATTGCCTGGTTCTGTGATGTTTGGGATGTTCATGTTGCGTTTGACAAGACAGTTTAATGTTTTTATGTTTGGTAGTTTGTAATTACAACAAAAATATTTACAGTAAATATCCTTTAAAGAAGTTCTGCTTAATCAGTAGACATGTTTTTAGCAGACTACAACAACTACAAGTTGAAAGGAATCATAGCTGAAGTTTCATATCAAAGAACATGCACTATGTTCTTCGGACTTAGTTCACTTAGGGTCGAAGTTCAAAACTCGACAATAATTTGGCAATAAGTGAATATCTTATCCAATAATTTCACAGTTAACAAATAAAAAATAAACTTTACTTGAGCAATTCCAGAACCCATCAACCCACTACCAATTATTGCGACAGTCTTGATGGGGCTATGGCGTCCCAAAGATGTAGAGAAGGCCCTAACAAGGTACTTTGCCATGAACACCATCTTTCTGTTGTAGTGCTAGCATACAATGTATACAGAAAGTGCACTCTTCTGTGTTAGTCGTTACATTTGTGCATATAGCTTTGTGTTCCTCCGAGTAAGAGATCGGTGGTCCGATATCTAGATGCGCAGAAGTAACTGTCACAGTATACACTCTACTTCTCACCAACCCCACCTTTACCCACCCGCATCCCAAATGCAGCATAGGCCATCAAACAAGTCACGTCAGTTGTTATATCCTTCGCTACTACATGCAGCTGTCCCCATTTCTCCCCATCTTCGTCCCCAGTTCTTTTTCCCCGTGTTTTTTTTTTTTGGTCTGCCTTTATTGCTATGCCCCTGTGGGTTCCAGTGCCGACATTCTAGTTATATTGTTCTCCGGTTTTCTCAACATGTGCCCTATCCAACGCCAGCGTATTTTCGGAACCTCTTGGTCCACTGGAATGTGTTTATCTCTCCCCAAAGCTCAACATTAGTGATTCTGTCACACCATTTAATTATCTCTGTTCTGCGCAGCTATCTGTTAATGGTTTTTTAATAATTGTTTTAGTTCTCCGTGTTTCCGCTCCATACAGCAGTACTGATCTGGCATTAGAATGAAAATGTGTGTGGGTTCCGGGGCCCTATTGTGGGGAAAACAAGAATAGACCCACTGCCTCCCCAAAAGCATGTCGTAAGAGTCGACTAACTGGGGAGCTTCCTTTGAAGTCGGAGTACATCTGCCTGAGAGGCAAGGAACCAGCAGTCTGCATTCAATTGAATCAGATCTGTAAAACTGATGCACATGCAACACTCAGGTTCTGGAGCATGACTGCAGTCCAGAAATGGACGAACAACCAGAACTTTACGCCAGAGTGTACAGCTGGTGAACACAAAGAACAAAGAAGAAGAAGAAAATGTTTGAGTTTGGTATTACTTTTTTCAGTGCTATGAAAGCTGCTGTTTGCAAATGTATTCGTATTTTAATGTCTTTATCACCCCCCCCCCCCCCCCCCCAACCACCACCAACTCCACCCCAATCTTAATCTATATTACTGCCAAAATAAGTGTGTGACTCCACATGTTGGAGTGGAATACCATTAATATAAAATGTGTTTTTGACAGCGTTGATAGAGCCGCTAGGGAATCCCATAGAAAATTATTAAAAGCAACGTATACAGACATGAAATGTCGAGTTCGTCATGGAAGAAAGACAACAGACATATTTGAATAAGAACGATGTCATCTGTCGCCTCTCCTATTTCGACCGACTGTAATGGTGTGAATTCCCGGGGAAATCCCAGAGAGTTCTCGATGGGGAGGACAAGATCAGAGGACCAATGGTACAAGAGGAAAACGAGATAAGTGGGTCTCGAGTATCCCGTGGTGACAAGAAAAGTGTGAGAGTGGAACGGAAGACGTGAACCGAGAGACAGTAGTAAGACGGTTGAAGTTCGGACCTGGTTGCGAGAGGTCGTATGTGAGAGAACACCTGATTAGAATGGAGAACTTGTGAACACGTATAATTGATCGAGAGAAGATATGAATGTTTCTTGATTGCCAGTTTCAACATGTACTAATGCCAGGTACAAGGCTTTAGTGTGATATGGATGTGTGATTCGAGGATACGGATGGAGCAAAGCAGTGTGCGAGAGAGTTGGCCAGGTCGTCAGAAATCAGCCATGCATAGTGACCACGAGAACGAAAGAATGCGCTGTCAGTGAGATGTTTGATTCAGCGAATAATAGTCTACAACTGAACATTCGTTTCTGGTGTGTCAGAGCAACTAAGTGTTCGTCAATACAGCAAGGTGGCGTGTAGGAACAAACCCCTAGCAGAGCACATTGCACCGACAATAGACTGGATAATGAAAACAGCAACCGCTAACACCAGTAATGGAATTAGGTGAACCCCTACAATGAACACTTGATGTCCGCTGATATTTCTTTTCTATCTCATTTTATGGAATCAGATGCAAGATAAATTAAATAAATTTGATGCCAGATCACATCAACTATGTATAAAAATTCATAATGGAAAGACAAAGATAATGAGAATAAGTCCAGTAAATAGTCCTCTTCGTCTTCTTCGCGTTCACTCCAGCAGAAAGTTCTGGTTGTTTGTCCACTTCTGGACTCTAGTCCTGTTCCAGAACCTGAGTGTTGCGTGCACATCCGTTTAACATATATGACCAATTTGCACGCAGACTGTTGGCTCTTGCATCTCTGGCAGATGTACTCTGACTTCGAAGGAAACTCCCAATTAATCGACTCTTGTGACATGATTTTGGGCAGGCAGTGGGTCTATTCTGGTTTTCCCCTACAATGGGACCCCGGAACCCACTCGGGGACTTCTTTTTTCACCGGCTGTAAGCTCCGGGGGAAAGTTCTGGTGTTCGTCCATTTGGACTTTGGCTTTGCTCCAGGGCCTGAGTTTTTAGATGTACATCTGTTTTGCTGGTTTATTTGTGTGCAGTTGGTTGTTCCTTGCCGCTCGGGCAGATGCCCTCCGACTTCGAAGGAAGCTCCGTATTAGTTTACTCCTACGACATGCTTGTTGTAGAGGCAGTGGGTCTATTCTTGCCGCTTCCCCCCCCCTCCTATAATAGGACTCCGAAACCGACACGGGGGGGGGGGGGGATAACTGAGATAAAACCTTATTTCACATTTGTAAACACAATCTTACGGCGATTCATTGGACCCATCAAAGACGCAAACAGCGGGGAATGGAAAGTAAGCAGCAGTTACAAAATTAATAATCTACAAACGGATGTGCACGCAAAACTCAAGTTCTGGAACAAGACCAAAGTCCAGAAATAGATGAGCAACCAAAACATTTCGCAGGAGTTTACAGCCGAAGAATGCTAAGGAAAAAAAATCCCTTCTCTCTCCCCCCCCCCCCCCCCCCCCTTCCTTTTTTTTTTTTACAACTTGATTCACAGAATACTACAGCGAATTTTTGAATTAGGGTTTACAAAAAGAAGTAAGTTTCGGATCCTTTACAGAACGTTGCAGAACCAACACCAGCAAGTATATCCCTGCTGTGGTTTTTCTAGGCAAATTTTACGTTCAGTAGTTTGCCATTGCTTCCTGAACAGCCAGCCCTGGGTACCACTGTCAAAACCAACGCAAGACAAATCGTCAGCAGCTGGGATCGAACCCGGCACCTCGTCATTGGTAAACACAAATAAATTAAAGAAAATGGCTGCTATTACTTTGGTTACATGGATTATACGCTTACTCACTGGACATTGTAACCTCAACAAATACTTATATAGATAAGATATGGGTCAGATAGTTCTCTACCAGTGCCTTCATTCTGAACAGACACCAGAACATGTACCGAAAGTTTGTTCTCTCCTGGAGGAAATGTGAAGCAACACATGGACCACATCCAGTAGACATGACCTTCTGTTTCGCGTTCATCGGCTGTGAACTCCGGCGGAAAGTCCTGGTTGTTCGTCCACTTCTTGACTTTAATCTCGTTTCAGAACTTGAGATTTGCGTATAAACATCCACTTTACAGATCTCGCTTATTTGAATGCACACTGTTGGTTCTTTGCCTTTCAGGCAGATGCACTCTAACTTCGAAAAAGAAATTCCCCCATACTAGAGTCAAATTTTAAAACGTTCATGTTTTTTTTTTAAAGGGGGGGGGGGGTGGTGGGGAAGGGGTACATTCCTCCCTCCAACTAAGCTTTTGAGAAACATAAGAGGCCTAGATATGACATTTAATTTTGCGTCGAAAATGGATACGCAGGACAAGAGATCACCGAAGAAGAAGACGGCTTGGGTGGACCATGGCAAAAGGGTTAACAGTGTCGACGACACCTAGGAAATATTGCGGGGGGGGGGGATGCTGAACTTGAAATTAATAATATTAATAATAATAATCGTGTGTTGAATCACAAATAAATATACGAGTAAAGTGAAATAATATGATATGAATAAACAAATACCTTTAAAGAGAATTGTAAAATATGGACAAAGGGAACCTCTTAGTCCATTTACAAAAATGTTTAGGGATTCTCAGGCTCCCTCACACACACACACACAAAAATTAGTCGTGGTGGGGGGGGGGGGATGTCGAGGAGCCATTTGCCCTTCGGTTCGGGCGCCCTGGAGAGTTGACCGTTTCTTCTTCTTTCGTTCGCAAGTTGACCGTTTGATTCATGTTAAAAGTCCAACATGTGTCCGGTAAAACAATAGTAAGCTTGTCGCTCGGTCGTCCAGGTATGCTGACTGTTCTAATTAGGCTGCCGCGACGACTTCTTATCTCACACTACCTTCTGCGAAACCACCAAGTCGTCTTGTCTCTGGCCTAAAGAAAAACACCATCAGGTAATTTCGTGCAGCAGGGAACCAGCCATAAGCTTCATGAACTCAGGTAAGCCCACCTCCGAAAGCGTCCTCGTTGACGAGGATAATTTCTACTGACGACTGGTAGATCCCTGCTGTACTTGCTCCCTGTGAGTTTATTCCTATTGGATTAGTTACGGACCATGCCGGTCAGTTAAAGGGTGGAGGTATGCCAAGAATCCTTGGAGGTATTTGCCCCACGCTCTTGTGGGTAATCGGTGCTACAGGTAGTCAGTATTACGCTCAGCATAGAGACTGAGTCAAATGTGGTCAGCAACAATACACAATGAATTAATTTCGTTCTCCTTCTTTTCGTGTTCGCTTTCTGATTTATACCGTCCGTTAAGTTCTTGTGATAAATGGTACTTTCGTAATATCCGACCACAAACAGGGAAAATCCACAGGTCACAGGACCGTCTAATATTTCAAGTGTGGTAGATAAAGCGTATAGTGTAGTAATTTGGCATATTTCACTTTACTGTGCTTCTGTTTTGTGTGCTGTGCAGTTTTTTGCCCTGCATTCTTTTGGTTGTGCGTTGTGGACTATATGTGCAATTAGGAGGACGCAGATTTTGTGGGTTGTTTTTTTTAAATAAATATTTTTGTTTTCTGGGAGGAGGATGCTGTTTTGCAATTTGTTTGTGTGAAACCCTATGTGCAATCGGC